CATTCCATGTATATCACACAAATTATAGGAACAAATCCCTACATTATTTATTTTGGGTCGTGCGCTATCCACACTCGTTTTTCTTTTTACACCTCTCTCAATTTTTTACCGTTGGATTGGATAATTGAAAAAGATCAATGGTAAAAAAATTAATAAGGGTGTATGAGAAGTAAAAATAGGCGGGAAATAACTCTATCCTTTCATTTAGTCGGGTCCCTATTACCTGTGTGTTAAGAAAACGAGTATATTTTTGAAAGAAAACAAAAGGAGGAAAAGTATATTTGCATTCAACGGAAAGTGCATGTCCAGCCCACGAAACTTGGCCCAATATGGTCAGGTTTTCAGGTATATGCTCGGTACTCGGTAGTTCTGAGCCCGGCTTGTATTTTAATTAATTTGTTTAGTAATCAAGTTTTATTTTTAATACGACAATATTATTTACTTAATTTGAGACATCATGGACTGCCATAATAAATTAGTACTCACGAGATTCGGATTTTTTTTTATAACAAATAATATTATGTACTTTAAAGATAAAGACCGATTGTTTGTCAATCTCCTAACAAATCATTGTGTCAATATTTCATGGTTTTCAATTAGTTTTGTGAATTTTTCAAAAGCCAGCATAAAACTTTTAGAAAATCCATCATAAAACCATCTTTTTTTTAATTTTTTAGAATTTTCAAAAGCCATCATAAAACTATTATAAAATCCATCATAAGACCACTTTTTTTTTTTTTTTTAATTTTATAGAATTTCGACCGCACCTCTAGCTTTTAAATTTCATTTTGATTGGAAGCAACGTAACGTATGTATGTAAAGTATGGCAAGGGTCAACTCGTCTTGATAGATTCAATTCGCAAACTCTCTCGCCTGAAGTTTGCAACAAGCCTTTCACACACCTCAGTCCGAATCCATTAACGTTCTAACTGTTGCAAGTGTTCCATAGAAAATACATACCGAACAATCCATTAATTTTCAAACTCTTTTTATTAGTTTTCCATGGAAAATACATACCGAACAACGTCAAATGTTCCAGCAAGGTGTACGAGTTCATGAAAAAAACAGGGCCCAAGGCAGTAACAGCTGCAGATTTTGGCCAACCAAAGTCAGCCCCGACGATTGAAAAAAACAACTAATGATCAGGCAGTTTAACCTTGTAACGGAATTTCCTAATTAACCCTGCTGATTGCAAAAAGTTTCAAAACACAGACAAGTCGCGATCGAATTGGAAGAAGGTTCACCCTAAAACGACCTCTTTCAACAATTTGTTCAATATCATAGGGAACCTGAATCACACACACTACTCAAGTTGTACAGAGAACAAAGACTTACTGTACATACATGTAACAAGTAACACTTAAAATCCATGAATATGCAGCCCACTCAACGGTAATTCTACAACTCTGAACAGAAATGTTGAGCAAGTTTACCGGTATTGCTACCACTCTAACCTCAACCACTACATCATCATATATATGGAAAACGTCTAGGTAGAACACATACAACTCACAAGTTTTGCAATTCAAAATGTAATTCTTATGTATAACTCTGTAAAGAAGACACGAGTTCCCACCACCCGAAACTCTCACGAATGGAGGACACATATCAAAGCATCATATGTTGGTCTAGACTCTGGAACATACATTGACAGAGCAAACGAGGGACATGTAAGGTTATAAGGTGGAAGGACGCAATGAACAAGTAACGCATCCGATGGGCTAACAAGAAATGAGGTGCATTACCATGATTTGCTTCTACACAGTATGTTCATGGAACCATGGAAGATACGAAGGTTTAAACAAGATATTGTGTACCATGTGAGAAGACAGCGGAATCAAACATGAGCAAACACCAACAGAAAATTGAGTTCAAATTATTATTTACATCCAGAAGAAAATGGAAAAACATGAAAACAGATTTCAATTTCTTCTTCGAATCGACTACTAAGCTAATAATAAGCAAACAAAAGCATATAAATCAGTTACAAATGCAACAAGGAAATGGGAGGAATGAAGGAGGTATGAGAATTGCAGAAATGGTGATACCGATTTCAATCAATGAGAGATTGAATTATCTCCGCCAGAACTGGAAGCTCCAGCGGCACTAACAGTCACAGCTCGCTTCTTCCTCTCCTCCTCGTATTCTGGATCATCGGTTGGCAGCTCAAACCGGCAAACCGGGCAAGTATTCCTGGAACTCAGCCAAGGAACAATGCAATCGCCATGGTAACCATGCCCACATGGCAGCTTCTTCGACATTTCACCAACATTCACCATATCCTTGCATATGGCGCACACCACGGCCTCATCCTCTGAGGCAATCTTGACCGACGGTAACTCCGAGACGGCATTCTTCGACGCCGGTGGAGACCCTCTCCTTCCAGCATTATCGCTCTCAGCCAAGGTCTGCAACAAAGCCTCATAGCCGGCTGCATCTACGTAATCCTCGGGATTGCCGATGTACCGGTCCGATTCGGGCATTTCGAGCCGGAATTCGATCGAGTTGTCCTCCAGCCCCATCAAGATCTCGGCCCAATCCAGAATCCGGTTCCTCCCGCTGCTCGCTCGGGTCGCAATCTCTCGGATGCGGAGACGAAGCACGTCGCGACGACGTCGTCGCATGTCTTCTTCATCTCTCTCTTGCTCATCTTCCTGGTTCTCTTCGCCTTCATCCTCGTTATCCGATCTATCATCTTCCTCTTCCTCCTCCTCCTCTACTTCCTGTCCGGCTTCTTCGTTACCCTCGCCGTCGTGGTTGCGAAACTCGACACTGTGCTCATCGTCGTCCTCGTCCTCGTCATCGTCCTCGTCGTTGTCCCACCCGTCCATCTCAATCCTGAAGAAATCGTCATCAGGCATGGGGTTTTGAGGCAGCGACAGGGGCGCATCCTCCTCACGCGACGCCTGAGCGATTAGCCGCAGCACCTGGAGAAATGGTGAGCCTAGAGTCGGGTCGTCGACCTGATCAGACGATCGGGAAGGAGGATCCGACTGCGGATACGACGCGGCCCGGATCGATTCGACGAAACCGTTCTTGCACTCGTGGCAGACGATATCCGGGAGATTCGCCACGGTTTCAATGGAGACGCGTTTGTTGCAGTGGTAGCACCAGTACTCCATAGTCTCCGTCTCGGCCTCTGACGCAGATCGCGGCGTCTGGGATGGAGTTTCAGCCATAGGGTTTCTGTTTGGAATTAGAGGTCCGATACGGCCGAGAAAGACCAAAAGAAAGAAGGAAGGAGCGGGGAAATTGGGTGCGGGCTGCAGATTAGATTCTTGAGGACCTGTGCGCCGAGATTGTCAATTGTGTGACGTGGATTGCTTTGGTGCTGCGAGGTGGTTTTTTCCCATGAATTTTGACCCGTTGGATGAAACTTACAATTTTGTTGATCTGTGGTGGAGGAGACAATCAACGGTGGATATGTATGGGTTGGAAAGTTGTTGGTAATGCATTAATGCAATAACTAAATAAATAATAGGGTTTTCATTTTCTCTTTTCTTGTGGAGAGGGGGTTTTCAATAACTAAATACATAAGAAAGGTTTTATTCGCGACTAAAAAACAGTATAGAGGAAAAAACAATTAAGAATAATGCTAAAGCAAATGTGAGGTATTGCTCCTAAACATTTTAAAGTATTTTATTTGTCTTTAAACAAATTTTTTGGATGAAAATCTAGCAGTGTTATTCGAAAAAATATTGCTGCACATTATGACACACACGTTTTAGCGACTAATACCCACCGTCTTTTTTTTAGTACTTTAAAATATAAACAATTTAAAGTTACAAGCCCTTCCACTATTGAAATTAAGTTTAGAGCATTATTCAGCATTGTACTTGAAATGTTGCGTTTGAAATATCCAAAGTCATTTATATAAAAATAAAAACTATTATGGCACTCAAATCACTGAGCGTAAAATAAATAAAGAAATCGTTGTATCTAAATAGAAAAGATTTATATAAATCGTGCAACTCACAGTGACACATTTGCATGAGCTTGTATCCAAAGTCTTTATATTCAAAATCTCTATTGTGATTTTCCTTCTCACGTCGCCAACATTGCTTTGTGTTAATAAAAGCTAATGTCACATATTCATCAAGAAGTTATGTTTATTTCGATTCAATATCTTTGACATCCCAAGTTAAAATATCATTTCTGAATGGCCACTTTCACCAAGAAATGAGCGTGACCTATAATACTTCATGATTAATCGGTTGATTGTCGTTCACTGTAAATCTTTAAACAACAACTATTTCAACAAAATAGTACTTGGCATTGGCTCCTTTTATATATTTAACAATTTAAACAATTACCACTATCGTTTGTTAAAAAAAAAAAAAACAACCAATGTACCCTTGTTGGACACCGATTGAACTTTAATTAATCAAGGGTAAATTGCAGTTTAACCCTTTGAACTATCATCCCAGTTGAAATTGACCCCTTAACTATTTTTTATTTTATTTTTTATAAATTAACCTCCTGAACTATTTAAAATCGGTCAATTAATCCCTTGTCGTTATATTGCAGAATCAATTCTGTCAAATTCAAGGGCAGATTGGTCATTTCATCATTAATTGTTACTTGTCAGTTATAACCGTCGATAAAATTTTGACAAATTGGTACAAAATAATTCAAATATATATAGCATAATGAGAAAACATAAAAAACCAAATGTTTACATAACAGACCATCTCACATTGTCATTACACATTATTTTGTTTTCTCATGTCATAATTACATTGTTGGTTATAGTTGACAAATAAGAATTGATGAAGGAAAAATTACTTTTCCTTTGAATTTGACGAAAAAATGGATGAAATCTACCGATAAGGGGTCAATTGGCATATTTCAAATAGTTCAAGAGATTAATTAAAAAAAAATCAAGAGGTCAATTTCAACTGAAGTTATAATTCAAGAGATTAATTTCAACTGAAGTTATAATTCAAAAGGTCAATTTCAACTGAAGTTATAATTCAAGAGGTCAAGTGACAGTTTACTCGTTAATCAAAATGAGGCCAATATTTATTTATAACACAAAATTTGCTAAATCGCATCATCTTGTCCGGATTACTTATTATTTATGAGGAGTGTTAAACCCACCCCCTTTTCTTATTTCCCCACCCCACTTAAATGTGAAAATTCCATTAACAACTATGTCCTTTTAGAGAATGACCGTAAGGACCTAAACAATAACCAATTGTATTTTGTCACGTAAGCGTTAGATTTTTTTCATTAAAAACTAAAATAATAGAAAAAAGAAAAAACGAAAAAAATCAGAAAACTCCCACCCCATTCTCACTATTATAACCACGACAAGTGCACAACCACACGCCTCCCTCACAACGGCGTCGATGATGGCTACCTTCTTTTCAACTCCTTTCTTTTCCCTTTCTCTCATGACAGTGAACAATCTCGATCCAATTCTGATAGTGAAAAGAGATTATGTACAGCGAAGGAAGATGGGTAAACCCATGAAGGTGGGTAGTTTTGAGGCTATGTTTGGTGCTGCGAAGGTTGGATGGGTGGAGCTTGGGTGTTGGTTCGGCTGCCGTATTAGGGATCATGGTGCATATAGGGTTTGGAGGTCTGTTGCTTCGATGGTTTTGGAATTGGGATGGTTAACCGATTTTTATCAATTTTTTTTTGTTAAAGAGATATTTATATCCTATATATTCTAATAAATAAAATTTAAAAATTTTTAGAGATATATAAAAGGTTATATTAGGAATAAGGGTGGGTGGGAAAAGAGAGTTTTTCATTTTTAACTTTTTATGGTAGGTGAAATTATAAGGTGGGTGGGAAAATAGGACAATGGGGTGGGACTAGTAACCTTCTTATTTATTTACAATCTCCATAAAAGAGAAAATATTTATTTACAATCATATCCCTCTCTACATCCAAAAAAGCAAGCCTCGATATATTGGAGTTCGTATTTACTAGATATACTACATATAAACACCAACGACCAAGAGAGAGTGATTTTAACCACTTCAATATATATATATATATATATATATATATTTTATCTTTTACCCCTGTTCTTTGTCAAATTTACGAAAATCCACCACAACTGAGTTGTTGAGGGAGCCTCAAACGGACATCAGAAGCCGAGGATCGGACGGCCACGCCGTGCCAGCAAATACCACCCTTGCACGACTCATGAGCAACTGGAGGATTGTAGTCGCCGGGAACTGCATATGTGGGTTTGCGGGAGACATCCCACGTCAGAGTCAGGAACAGGATAAGGCACACCACGGCGGTGGAGAGGATTAACACAAAGGCACCGCCGAAGCTCTGCCCAATCGCCACCCCGTACCCCTTGATCGCGACAATGACTGCCACGTAAATCATCGTCAAGTTCCTAACCACCGCGTCGGAAACCGCCATCTGCTGCTTCTGGGTGGGGTTTGTGAATTTGAGAGACACTGATCAACTTTGCTCTTTGACCTCT